CCAGCCTCAACGATATATATCTAGACCACATTACTCCATCAGCCCAAAGCTCACACCAAGGACATAAGCTCTTATAACAACAGAGAGCATTCCAAATACGTGTATTTTTCATCTTAAGGAGAAAACACCGATACCAAAACCCATAGACAGCAAATTTATTCCAAGGCCTAATTTTATACTTGCTGTTTTTGCCCATTGAAAAACCACAAGGTCGTGATACTGAAAGAGTCACGCGTTCTGAATATGGTTTGATGATACCAAATCCAGAACCTGTCCAGCCATGTATATTGGGGACACACCTTCATCCGCTTCCAGCTGTATATAACTTCACATCTTAATTCCGTGGAACCTTAGCCAATACCAGTAACCAAATGTATTTTTCAAAAAATAAGGCTTGATAACCTTCATCATATGAATAATGAACCAATAAAATGAACTAGTGAAACCCAATGTATTCCTGAAAAGGATCTCTATACAATCTTATTTAAAACCATTAAAATTCAGATTTTTATTTTTATTTTTATAAACTTCTGTGACAAAAAAAAAATCTACAACTTAAATTTATTTTCAATAAAATTGAATTTCAAAGTATTTTATGAAATGACAAACTTAGTTTTAAATTTTGATAAAATAACCTACATTTCTGCTTAAAATAAAAAGTTGCTAGTACACCAGTTAGAAAACTAATACCATTTTACTGATAATGAATTTATTAAAATTTTCTTTGAAGTGATATCATTGTAACTTTACTCTCTATATATAAACACTGAAATTTTAGAACAAAATTTGAATCTAATGAGAAATTTTACCTGGATATTTGTTTATTGTAGGTAGTGAGTCCACAGTGGCCACGGGTTTAGATACGATGTACTGCAATATTCCACCTCCACCACTGTCTCCGCCTCCACCTCCACCTCTACCTCCAACAATTGTGTGCACATGTTCATAATAATTTCCATTTTCATTGTTGTTGTTCCAGTAAAACTCCTCCAGCGGCACCAACGTCATATACAGGCTGAAATTCTAATAAATCATCCACAAATTCAGTAGGTTTCAGTCCTCCTGGGAGCTGTTTGGCTCCATGATTCGCACTAACCCCCCCCCCCCCAATGAACACCATCACAAGCAGCTTTGTGATTTTCATATTTGTTTTACTTATATAAATGAAATACAGTTTCTCAGACAAGACGGTTTAGATAAACTTCATAAGTTCAGTTTTAAGTAATTTATTTTTTAAAATTATTAAAACATTCAACCCATTGATGGCACTCACTTACAACATAATTCTGTAAGCTCAAGATTGGTAAGCTCATCATGAAGCGGGTTTGAGCAATAAAATCAAGGAGAATGAAGCCTAGTTTGGACATCATAGAACAAAGAAATTACAATTAAAAAACTGATGAAGTGCCTGCGAAGATTTGGAAAGAGTATATTTGCGATCTTGGAAAATGTTCGATTATAAGACAGAAGAGACTGAAATGTTACTAGGTTAGCTGTTTTAAGAGAAAGAAACACTCAAGCAAAAGGATCCTGAGTTATGGTTCCCGGAGAGTGAGAAATGTGAAAGAGAAGCGATTGTTATCGCTTTAGAATACTTTGGTTAGTTAAGAATCCTCTGTGGTGAGCTGTGTGCACTATTGAAACTTTCATACCATCCAAGTTCTAGTTTTTTTCATTTGGTGTCAAGAGCAGACAATCTCTTTAATTCTGAATATAGTCTACAGGTTGAGATGTTGGGAAGAACATGAAAATATGAAGGAGTTAATTACGTTTAAAATGCTGATTATGCTAGATGGGGGAAACTTGGGTCACTCGAAAGTCCAGATGAGACATATCATTCGCGCAACTCAAGAAAGCAAGATAAAGAGTATGATTGGTCAGGTTCTTGAGGGTCAGCAGAAGTGTGTTTTCCAGCTGACAGTTTCTTGCTATATATTACAACCTGAGAATAAAAAGTCTGATGTCATTACTCGGCATAAATCAACATCAAATCAGCAATTATTTGGTGTCCACATAGGTGACTCCAATTTATGTGCAGATATGACCATTTTCTGCAAACTGTTAACATATTTTACTCCGATTGGAAAAAAAATTATAGCACATTAAAGGCCCAAATAAAACCATTCCACTTTCAAAATTTGAATGAAAGCATAATATGTATAATAATTCATTTATTCTTGGATGCATATCCATTACATCACGAAAATAAAGAAACTACATATAACAACACGCATGCTACGATATTATACATATTACTCTAAAAACTGACAAAATATCCCTACATGCACGTAAAAGGAATCAGATTTTGTTGTGTCGTCTTCCAAGAAACCATAGAAGCTTATCTCACTTAAAAACAAAAATATCAAGCCAACGATGCATCATATCTATTTCACTAGAGGATTTGTGAACAGCAATTGGAGTAGAGAGAGGTAATATTAGAGAAATACGATTAAAGAGATGGGCCAAAGTTGTAAGAGAAGCTTAAGGTTCATGCGGCAAGTGGAGTTTCTTGGCGCAAGTATGAAGCACAACCACGAGTAACCGAGTCACAGTGAGTCTAGTTGGGTGACTAGAATTCCAGGTTACGCACCAGTTCGTCAACATTGGCACATTTATTAACTCTACAGCAGCTACATGAATAAGGTAACCTAACATCGAGTTTCAAATTTTTTCCCTTTGCTATCAATATTTTATATGGCACCAAAAAACTGAGAACTTTGCATGTATATCACAATGGTTTATCTGAGGATTATATATTCATAGGTCTGAGTTTTGGGGTTGGAGATGGTGATGTATGTTGTAACCAAACAAACTATACTATATGAAAGAGTAAAATAGTATAGTAGTGACTAATTCTATTGTTTTTTTTTGTATAGCCTATTTGTTACATATGCTACTAGAAGAAAGTATAAATGATATTATAATGAGTTGCGGTTATATTATACTATTTGGTAATACAGTTTAAACATTATGGTAGCTTTCAATACGAAATTTAAATAAATTAGAATTGCATTTTATATATTATTTTTAGTCCATAATAGTATAGTATTCGTGTTTTATGTGGTACATGAAGATGTTGTTTTACTCACCTGAAATAGTTAGACTTGCAAGTACTGTTATATCAGACAGAGTAGAAAAAATCATGTCAAAAACTCATAAACAACTATTTTAATTTGTGATGGATCAAAATGATAACATTAGCCATTTCAAATGTTAAGTAGGAAGAGTGGGCGGATTCTCTCTTCAAACACAAGCAATATGAAATTTACATTATTGTTATGTTTTAACCTATGTCATCTCATTTAGTGTAACTCCCATATTGCTTATGTCTACTGTGTATACATTGTTTCACAACATTAATTTTGGAACGAAACCAACCTAGGCTATTATTAAGGTTGGTATGTATGTTGAAGTTCTGCAGCTGTAACATTAACTTGTACCTCAAATTGTTTATGTCATTATGAAACACACTAAAGTGGAGGGTCTATGTGTTTGTGTTTAGGTTATCATACTAAATTACGTTACTTATAGTACAATATATTTCACTTTATTTTGAAACGTTGTGCATACTATATCTTCTCGTGTTTAGTATAATCACCAGATGGATTAAACTATTTTGTTTACTTACTACTGCGTACCTTCTCAAAAGGTATAAACAAAGTGTTTGCCGGCTTTAACTTCCAACCTTATGCTTATATTGTTGTCCTCCCATTGATGTTTCCATTTAACCATATGAGTCTTCCATCACATATTCTATATGTACTATGAAGAGCTGTAAAAAGTCTTACACTGGTACTTGGTTTTCTAATCGGGCATGTGTATGTCTTATGCAACGACGTTGTGTCACACATATGTAGTTCTATCATGTGTTCTTTTTTTCATTGAACTAAACATTCGTGTGTTATGTGATTCAAGTGTATGACTATGCTATATGGTGTATAATATAGTAACATTTCACACCTAATACATATCATTCCTCATATGTATATAGTTTCTTATATAGTAGCCTCCAACAGTTTCATGACTCATAAGTTCATCAGTTAAACTATTTTTTTTTTATTGCATTCTAATACACATTCTCGCAACTGTCACAACTCGTTTGTGCTAGCTTCTTCTACAAAAGTATGCCAGTTTGGGAGATTAGTTGTTTGGTTATTATTGGACTATTCTATGTAGTATTGTATATGTGTGAGCATGTTGGAGTCTCATTTCAGAAACATACGTGATAGAATAGTCTAGGCTATAGTTTTGGTAGAAAAGAATTAAGCATGTGTTTTTATCTTCCATCACCATCAAAAACGCGTCGTCCACAAACTCACATGTTTTTTTTGTCTGCAATATAAACAGACTCTAAGTAGACTCTATAAACTAAATTGGTAACTCTTCATCCATATGAACAACGAAAGATGGCTGCTTCTTTGCACTCTGTGCAAGGCTGTCCGTACTCACGTGTTTTGAGGGAGAAAAAAAATTTAGTCTAATTGTTCCATCCGCCATTTGAAACTGTAACATTGATATATTTTTCTTTTTTCTCTCTCTTATGAATATACAACAAAATATCATATTTTCTATCTGATTAGCTTAATTTAAAAAAAAAAAACTTATTCCAGAATAAGAAATGACAAAATTCTAAGTTAGGTCATAGTAAATCAGCTTTTTGGAAGGAAAAAAATATAATTAGATTAATATAAGCTGACACGACCAAAGTAAATTTATAGACTAATTAGAATATTTAAACTGAAGTAGAAAATTCAAAACTTGCAATAAGAATTTTTCCAGCCTTGTGTCACTTCCAAATTGAAGGCCGCCACATATCACACACCAGTGCTCACCACGCCATCCAACCACAAGCGCTGAGTTTATAATTTTGCAAGATTTAGCTTCCACCAATCATAACCAAACACGTCATCAAGACGAATCAATCCGTGAAAACGTCCAGATTCTTGGAGCATATTCGGTCGGACATCATTTAACGCTTCTACCTCAATCTACTCATCTCCCTGCCTGAACAAGAGGAAGACATATTATCTCCTTCATTCCCTTTGAGCATTTTTCGAATCGGAGAGTTATGGCTTTAGCTTCTTCAACTGCTATCTCTGGATCCAGTTTCTCACGCTCTGGAGCCTCCTCTTCTGATCCTAAAGGTACTCCTCATCCTCTTTTCAAAATTGATTCTTTCATTGTGACCTGATGTTTTCCTTTCTCTTTTTGCAGCTCTTCAAATCTGTTCTCTTAGGTTATTATCTGATAAATCTACTCTCTCCCAGAGACGTTACTCTATCAAATCCTTAAAGGCTGAATCTGTCATTACTCGAGCTTCAACACTTATTGTTCCTGGTTTGTCACTGTCTTGTCTTGATGATTCCTATTTTTTTTTTTATTTGATCAAATGATTCCTATTTCTTATTTGTATTATTTCAAATGCTTATTTTGATGAACAATCACAGAAGTGGAAGAGAAAGAAGAAGATGCTGAGGATTTCGAGCAACTTGCAAAAAAACTCGAAGAGGCTTCTCCATTAGAAATCATGGACAAAGCTCTCCAGAAATTCGGAAGCAACATTGCAATTGCTTTTAGGTAAATAAATTAAAGATTCAAGAAAAGAAAAAGATCTTGAATTTGACTCTTTTTTTTTTTTGATTTTTTGGCTCCAGTGGTGCTGAAGATGTTGCACTGATCGAATACGCTCGTTTAACGGGAAGGCCCTTTAGGGTATTCAGCTTAGACACGGGGAGATTAAACCCTGAAACCTACAGACTCTTCGACGCGGTGGAGAAGCAGTACGGCATTCGAATAGAGTACACGTTCCCTGACGCTGTCGAGGTTCAAGCTTTGGTGAGGAACAAGGGTTTGTTCTCTTTCTACGAGGACGGTCACCAAGAGTGTTGCCGTGTGAGGAAAGTAAGACCTCTGCGCCGCGCTCTCAAAGGTCTCAAAGCTTGGATCACAGGACAGAGGAAAGACCAGTCTCCAGGGACAAGATCCGAGATTCCCATCGTTCAGGTGGATCCTGTCTTTGAAGGGTTGGACGGTGGTGTTGGGAGTCTTGTGAAGTGGAACCCTTTGGCGAATGTTGAAGGTGTTGATGTGTGGAGCTTCTTGAGGACGATGGATGTTCCGGTGAATGCATTGCACGCGCAAGGGTATGTCTCTATTGGGTGTGAGCCGTGCACTAGGCCCGTGCTTCCGGGTCAGCACGAGAGAGAAGGGAGGTGGTGGTGGGAAGATGCTAAGGCTAAAGAGTGTGGGCTGCATAAAGGGAACATCAAGAAGGAAGATGATGATGATGTCACTGCGGATTTGGCACCTGCTATTGTGAAAGATATATTTGAAAGCAGCAATGTGGTTGCATTGAGTAGAGGAGGGATTGAGAATCTGTTGAAGCTAGGGAACCGTAAAGAGCCGTGGTTGGTTGTGCTTTACGCTCCTTGGTGTCCGTTTTGTCAGGCTATGGAAGCGTCTTATGTTGAATTGGCTGAGAAAGTGGCGGTGAAAGGGGTTAAGGTGGCTAAGTTCAGGGCTGATGGTGACCAGAAGGAGTTTGCTAAGCAAGAGCTGCAATTAGGAAGCTTCCCAACGATACTTCTCTTCCCCAAAAGCGCTCCACGGGCGATTAAGTACCCGTCAGAGCATAGAGATGTCGATTCGCTTATGTCGTTTGTGAATCTTCTCCGGTGACTTGTGAGATTGGGAAGTTGAAGAAAGAAGAGAATTGAGATGAAGGAATGATTTCATCTTGAGATTGTGGATCTAAAAGAATAAGTTCTATATGACTTTGTATATGGTATTGTAGGGTTTATAGACTCATTTTCTGTCTTCTTGTCGTTAAATGTGTTTTTGTTCTTTCTTTTTTGAGTGTTACTTGAGAAGGAAAAGGATCCATATAATGGGATTTTCTTGATGACGTTTTTTCAGATATGTGGAGTTTCTACAGTTTTTATGCGTCTGCATTTTACAAACGTCTTCAGTTTATATGTTTATTTGTCAGCATATAGTGAACTGTGAACTCCACTAAAACATATCCAGGCCTAGGATTCAGCAGAGATTAGTTTGCGATGATGGTTCCGTCAGTGCATTGGATATTCTGAAACCTGTAGCTTCAAACCCTGCAGTATCTTGGATACAGCATGGAGAACAGGATTGTACCAAGGTGTCATGTAATCAAAACTCTCATGTCCAAAGGACTACTCAAATCTGAACTCCCTGCAATGTAACTTGTGTTGGCGATTACAGATGAAGCTTTTTTAAACAGGTTTGTGAGGAAGCACGATGACACGGAACTTGTGGCTGAGCTGATGGCTATCCTAACTAGAGGTCAAGGGTTTTATTAGCTCACATAAGGCATGTCAAATTTATGCACTAGCTCTGTCAATAATCTACAAACTTATGAGCTAATAAGACTTTACAGATTAATAGATTAGAATAATCCCAACCGAAGTAAACCAACGTAGAAATAGATTGGGACATTTAAATATCTCTTCTAATTAACCGAGAAATGAAGAATCCAGAGCAGAGGAAATAAAGGGTTTTGCGCTTAAACCCTAAAAATGGTTTATTGAAAAGTCGACCACGCTTCAATATTTTAGCTTGCACTAGTAAGTTCGATTTCCATTTTCCTGAATTGAAAGATTGGCCTAATCGCTTCAGCACAGTGGTTATCGCATTGCCTTTTGACATGTATTCCCTGATATTCCATGGAAGAAAATCCCTAGAGCTACACAAGTGGCGTAACTTGAGAGTTTCAGTGCAAAATGTATTTTCTTTTTCTTCTTCTTCTTCTTCTGCTAGTGCTAGAGATGGTCCAAAAGGGCAGGTTTTCACTTTCTGTTACCTAGTTGACTCCTTGGGTTTAACTACAACACTCGCAGAATCAATCTCAAAGAAAGTCAGCTTCAAGGACAAGGGTAATCCTGATTCAGTCCTGAGCCTTCTTAGAAGTTACGGCTTCACAGACTCTCAGATGTCCAGCATCATAACAAACTATCCACGGCTACTTCTTCTAGATGCTGAGAAATGTCTTGGTCCTAAGCTTCAGGTGATCAAGTCAATGGAAAGAGGAGCCTCAAGCTCTGATCACCTCACTGAGACTATCTCAAAATTTCCTAAACTCTTGGGAATGAAAGGGGACAAAACTATAAGCAGATACTATGACGTTGTCAAAGAGACCATCAAATCTGGTAAGAGTTCCAAGTTCGAAAAGTTATGTCATTCACTACCTCATGGTTTGCAGCGTAACAAGATCAGGAACGCATCTGTTTTGAGAGATATAGGAGTTCCTCAGAGGTTGTTAAACCCTTTGCTCGTCTCGGACCACAAACTTGTCTGTGGAGATGGAAAATTTAAAGAAACCCTCAAGAAGGTTATTGACATGGGTTATGATCCGACAAGCATACAGTTTGTTCAAGCTCTAGGAGCTGCTCAATGTTTGAGCGACAAGGAGATAAAAGAGAAAGTCAAGGTCTACGAGAAGTTAGGCTTTTCTGTAAGAGATGTATGGGAGATGTTCCTAAAGTATCCTATCTCTCTTAGATTCTCGGAGGACAATATAGCTCAGACGTTTAAAACCTTGCAGAAATGTGGACTAACAGAAGAAGAGATCCTCTCAGTGTTCAAGAAGTTTCCGGAATGCATTGGTTATTCAAGGCAGAAGATATGGAACTTCCTTAAAACCTCTTTTGGCCTTGGATTTAACATTAATCAGTTTGGGATGATGGTCAAGCGCTTCCCTCAATGTCTTAACATGTCTGCGGAGAGGGTGAAGAAAAGGACCAAGTTTCTGGCGAAGAAGAAGAATAAGCTTATGCTGAGGAAGATGAAATGGTCACTAAACGCTGTGGCTTTGTTTCCTCAGGTGCTTGGAGTTAGCATGGAGAATAGGATTGTGCCAAGGTGTAACGTTATGAAAGCACTCATGTTGAAAGGGTTGCTCGGAGACAGAGAAAGCAAACTACGTGATAAGGAATCTGTCTTGTTATGTACTGATGATGAGTTTTTAAACAGGTTTGTGAGGAATCATGATGACAAGGAGCTTGTGGCTGAGTTAATGGCTATCTTCAACAGAGATTCTGCTTCATAGATTTTAAGGCTTGTGTCAAGGAGTGAAGTGTGTTTCTCTGACATGGATTTTCACTTTATAAATTTCAAGGATCCTATAAAAAATTTAAGCTATCATATTATTTAACTGAATTATGTATTCTTTTGGTTTTTGTTTCATTAGTATCTACCAAAGTAACCAAACACAGGTTTTTCCATATCTTTTAGAGGTATATCTAGCAAGTAGCAAGAGACTCTTGTACTTTTTTTTGTTTGATTATGTACGTTTAGATGTATATCTAAGGTGTATTTCATACAAAGTTTATTTTCATCTTCTAACACCAGGAATCGGTGGCAAAAGCAGCTTACATACTTGTTTTGAAATACTTGAAATCCAGAAATCTCAACAACGACATACTTATCAAGGATTTTGCTTTTATTTATACTTATCTATCTATTTTTTTGGAAAAGGGCTAACACCAAGAATCGGTGGCTATTAGTGTAATTTTTTGAGCATTGAACCTGGCAGCTGTAGATAACTCCGTTTTATGCTGACTCATGTTTGTTTTTTCAGACAGAATCATGAACCTTGTCATAGGTTCTCTACTAGTTTTGGTTTCTGGATCAGATATTTTGAGCATTGATCTTATCTGTATGATTGGTCAAAGCATTGAATTTGAAACAGTTTTAGCCTGTCAACACTCAACCGTATGCCACATGTGTTTATCTATGTACTATCTGCTTATGTTTATATTATATAGTATGATGACCATATATAAAAGAAGTTTCTTCTCACATTCTTACCACCAACTATGTTTTTGAGTAAGAATTGATTTGAGGTTTGTTAGAAAGCAGACGCGTTGTGTCTTCTTCCAAAAAAAAATGAACAGAGAAGACAACCCTAAAAATAAATCATTTTAATCCAAATTTGAGAGAATCCAAACATGGCAACATTCATATATAACAAGAAACATCAATCTTAGAGACATGCTTCATCATTTTCCTGGGAAAGGTCTGATCTTTCTTTCAGATTCATTTCACCCAGACAGGGTTTGGATCTGAAAGGATCGATTTTAGAGACAAGATCAATCTTTCCTTTGGGATTTCATTGAAAGGTTTTGTTAGTTTGTCTGAGGTATCAATAACACAAAAGAAAATAAGAAAGAAAAAAAAAAGAGAGGATGAAGCTTTGTCCTTGTTTCAGCAATCCACAACAACTACCTAACTCGCCTAGAGATTCATTTGATGAAGGTCTTACAGGTTATAGAGGCCGTAGCAGTAAACTTTTTGCTCTTTTCACCTTTCGCTCACGTGGAAAAGGTACTTAGTCTTCATACAAATCAAATCTTCTCACATATTTGATCATCAATTTGGTTTATGAAGACGTTTTTTTATGAAACAAATGTTAGGAAGCTCTAGGCAGAAGTACATAACGGACGAGATAAAGAAGTACGGTAACGTGAAAACAAGCGGCAAAATCTTCAAGTTCAAGGAACTAATAGCTGCAACAGACAATTTCAGCATGGAATGTATGATTGGTGAAGGCGGTTTCGGAAGAGTCTACAAAGGCTTTCTCACCAGCCTCAATCAGGTCCTTTTTCAATCATTGCGTGTTGCGCACGGATTTTTGTGATCAAGTTGCTAATTATTGTGTGTGTTTGTTTGATTGAATGATGAGAAGTTTAGGTGGTGGCTGTAAAAAGGCTTGACCGGAATGGGTTGCAAGGAACAAGAGAGTTCTTTGCAGAAGTCATGGTATTGAGTCTTGCACAACATCAAAACCTTGTCAATCTCATTGGCTATTGTGTTGAAGACGACCAACGAGTCCTCGTTTATGAATTCATGCCTAATGGATCTTTAGAAGATCATTTATTCGGTAAAAAGTTATGAACCTTTAATTTTCATATAAGCTTCTACATTGTAATATCTAGAGTTAATATATATTTTTTCATTATATTTTAGACTTGCCGGAAGGGGCACCAAGTCTAGACTGGTTCACGAGAATGAAGATAGTGTACGGTGCAGCCAAAGGGCTTGAGTACTTGCATGACTATGCAGATCCTCCTGTGATCTACCGCGATTTCAAAGCTTCAAACATATTGCTGCAGTCTGATTTTAACTCGAAGCTATCGGATTTCGGGTTAGCCAGGCTTGGACCAACTGAAGGCAAAGATCATGTGTCCACTAGAGTCATGGGAACTTACGGATACTGTGCCCCTGAATACGCCATGACCGGTCAACTCACTGCTAAATCTGATGTCTACAGTTTTGGGGTTGTCCTCCTTGAGGTTATATCCGGGAGACGAACTATTGATGGGGATAGACCAACCGAAGAACAAAACTTGATCTCTTGGGTACTAAGAGTCTTGTCTAAACACGTTTTTGTTGTTGCTTGAGAAGCAAGAAAGTTATTGAAGTTCTTTCTTTTTCGGTTTCTTTTGTAGGCGGAGCCGTTGTTGAAAGATAGGAGAATGTTTGCGAGGATTGTGGATCCGAATCTAAAAGGGAATTACCCATTAAAAGGATTGCATCAAGCTCTAGCGATTGCGACAATGTGTTTGCAAGAAGAAGCAGAGACTAGGCCATTCATGGGAGATGTGGTCACAGCACTTGAGTTCTTGGCTAAGCCTGTAGAGGTTGTTGATGATACTACTACAAATAGTGACACTACTACTCCTGCTTCTGTTTCTGCTACTCAGACATCATCATCTGATTCATAACAAGGCCTATTTCAATCTTTCTAATCGTTTTCTTTTCTTTTCGTTTTCTTTTAACGTAAATCCCAAGAAAATAATTAGGGTTAGAGTTTGATGTCAATTGGATGCGAACAAAACAATTCTTAATCTCATACTAATTTTTAGTCCAAGTCATGATTTCCTTTTCGCGTCGAACTATTCTTAATCAAATTACCAACTTCTAAAAATCAATCTACACGTGCCTACTCATCTATCTAGACGACAATCATATTTGGAACGATTTTCTTGAAATTGATTTAATCGACTTAAATCACCTTAAATCTTCGAAAATTAGTTTAAATTGGTCTAAATCGATTGAACTGAATCAGTTAAATCAAAGTGAATTATTACTAATCTTTGTATATTATCTTCACCATTAACTGTCTATCATGAGATTTTTGTTCTCTAATTAAGTTCACAGGTTTTTCTGAGCTTTTCGTATAATTTATATTTCATCAAAGTAGTTTTATAAATAACACACAAAGATTAAAATATAACATAGATATAAAATATATAAAAAATGAAGACACTGCAAAATTTATTAACATGTAGGCTCCAATACATCTACCTAGACACTAAGGGACTGACTGGTTGAAACGCAGTGGTTACGGTTGCAAGAGTTTGCGAATGTAGGTGGTTGCGGTTTCTAATGTTATTGGGTGCTTTATACGTCTGTAAAGCGGTTAAAAATTGATGTGTTTGCATTACATTTATGACTAATTGATTATGAGATAATGTAGCGGTTTGATAATAGATTACTAATATTAACACATTATCACATTATAAAAATAGCAAAAACACAATATTATGATAAACTATAATATTAATATATAATATAATTAATAACGATATTGTATTTATTTATTTTTTAAAAAATAAATGAAAATTATAATTTCAATAAAATTTGTTTTGAATATTTATACTAGAACGTTTAACATAATATTTTGTTTAGTTCTATATGTATGTATATTTATATATGTTTATACGTTAAACCTAAATTTTATAGTGAATATTCTTGGTTTAAATTTTTTATAATATAAATTATGATATTTTTAGTGAATTAAAATACAATAGAAAATGTGTATATATGTCTAAAATGTGGTTTTGAAAAAAATTACATGTATATAGACCTAAAAAATTTTTTAATGGATTTTTACTTTAGTGAATTAAAATTTTTAGGCATATTTCACTAAAGTAAAATTCTTGGTTTAAATTTTTTATAATATAACTTATGATAAATTTTACATTAGTGAATTAAAGTAAAGGAAAATCCGGTGTGGTTTTGAAAGCAGCTCACGACTTTATTAATGTATCAAACCTCAACATACAAAAAAAAGCACTTGGTAAAATTATTCCAATATAAGCCACTCTGAGTATTAGTTTGTGCACACTTCTGAGACGACATATCATGAAAACATTAAAAGATTGATATATTAGTATATATTAATATATAAACAACGGCATTGAAAATAAGAATGAATAATAAACAAGCATACATTTTATCCCAAAAAAAAAATCACGCAAGGACCTTGCATGATCTTGAGAATCTTGGGGACCATGGATCACACAATAGAGAGGCTTTTGGCCAGAGCTTCTTCTTCTTCAGATTTTGTTTTGTTGATTCTCTTCCCAATTCTTTGCTGCTTTCAACTTCTCCAAATGCTTCCATGGCTACTTTTAAATCTATTTATTTTGAAAATAAATACACTCAGAGTTTATTAATTAAAAAAACAGAGTTTATTAATTAAACAAAGTTAATTATATTATTGGCTTGCTTCAATAATTTTTAATTTTTCTGTAAACTTAAATAATATATTTGTTGACAGGCTGTATTAATGTATATGGAAATTTCTTGATCATTGACATAAGCACAAAATTAGATTCGTATCATACAAATACAAATTATTCACTAAAAAGGAAAAAAAAAAAGAAGAGAAACTTGCCTTGAAACGGCCGCGGTGAAGTTGGCGTTAACACGTTGCTCGTCCTGAATTCATGTAGCTGCATATTTAATTGACCGGTTCAGACTTAACCAACATCGAAACGTTGTAAACAAAAATTTCAATGGTTGAAAGAAAATAAAATTGTCTTACCCAACTGGGTGCACTACTCGGTGAACTGTCCCAACCGATATGCGACACATGACGAACATCTGTAGGATATCCAATTTCCATCTCATCCTCCTTCTCATCTACATTGAACCATTTCGTAATCGTCAACAATGATTATATATATACACATTTAGTTTAGCTAAAAAAGATAGTTGCAATCTAATTACTGAAATCGTCGTAGAAACACTTGAAGCTCTTCTGATAAAGCCCTTTGAATCTTGTAGACATGTTCAATACCGAAAAACTTCGGTGATAGTGTTAGAAAGAATAAATAACATTTGGTTTACGAAGAAATTTATTAAACAGAGATGATTGAAGAGGAAGATGAAAGATGAAGAAACGAGACAAAATGCTCTTTTGTTGGAGATTGGAATGATATTCAAGAAAAAATATAAAACAACGGGAAGAGACATGAAAGAGTAGTGGTGGTACTATTAAATAAATAACAAGTATTAAATTCTTGATCAATTATTGTAGAATATAAATTTCGTATATTAGTATATTACTAACTGATATTGACAAGACGAATAATGTCTTCTTTCATGATGTTATGTAATATTATATTACAGATTTAGAAAGTCCATTCAACGAGTTTTAGTTCAACAACTAATTCCACCCAATAACTAATTTTTCATCCACTTAAAATACAATTGAAGTTTTATTTTGAGAACAAATACAATTTAAGTTGTGAAACATACAGTTTGGTCGTATACTATGCCTTAAGACCATTAGTTTTGCTAAGGCATAACCTATTTCAAATATTTGACAGTTAATTAATAGAGGACGATTATGAGGTTTCTGTATTTTATGGTTTCATTTAGGATCAGAAGATGGTTGGTTCATAACTAAATATAATCCCATTAATTAAGATAGGGCTGAAATCTTAACCTTTCGAAGAAACCAGAATTAGTGGCTAACAAGTAACAACTAGTGTTAGAGCATCTCCAACCCAACTCCATTTTTTATTTCAAAATGGAGTAAAAGTGATTATGGAGTAAGAAATGCTCCAACCCCACTTCATTTCTTACTCCATAATGAGATTTACTCCATAAATGGAGTAATCTATTTTTTGTTTGTTCACTACTCCATTATGGAGTTACAAATAGAGTGGGGTTAGAGCATTTTTACTCCATAATCACTTTTACTCCATTTTGGAGGAAAAAATGGAGTTTTACATTGGAGATGCTCTTAGTCTTTGGTTTTAAAAAGTTTGGTACAACGGTACATCATTTGCTAGGTAGAAAACCATTATTTTCATTCATCAACTAAACCACTATATACCCAATAAAATCAAAGATTTGGTCTAACAACTTACAAATAATGTTAAAGGTGTCGTTCATTAAGATAAATGTATAAAAATATAACATTGGAAATCTCTCAACTACAGTTTGCTATCAAATAATTTTTTTATATGAATCTCTCAAAAACTTAACAAACTTCATAATTAGATGTAAATAATATGCGTGGTGAGAAATTCTGAACTTTTAATGCCGATGACCTCAGTAATCAGAATCACCAACCATTAATGTATCACGGTTCAAAATAACTTCAAATGATTAGCCTCATTTAAAGATTTTGAAAGGTACATATTTTGAGATATCTGAGTTGTTGCCTTCACGTATTTTTGTCGCTAAATGCATAATACAGACGAAATATCTATATGCTTGTGTAGATTTAGATGTATATGCAATCATCATTGTCTTGAACAATAGATTTGTAATAACATACAGTGTGACTAGGTGAGACAGCTGTGCTTTTTTTTTTCTATAGAGATTGAAAATTGTGCTTAGTCACTTTCAAGACACCTCTTGTCTTTGGATTATATCAAATTTCTCCGTCAAAAATTATTTTTAATGTTTAAATATGTGTTTTTAGTTGTTATTATACTCCTTCAGTTTTTATTATAAGATGTTTTAACATATAATTTAATAAAATATTTAAATTTTTATGTAGAGATTTTTGGACAACTATCTGATTAACTATATTTTAACCAATAAAATATAATTTACAAAATATAAAAAGTTATAATACACAAAATCAATATATTTTACATTAAAAACTAAAAACGACATGTAATTAGTCCAAAACATTTGTTCCAACCGACGAATTGTTGGTTTAGTGGTAAAGGAGTGCTTAGACACTATGTCACTCTGATTCAATTCTCGTTGGAAAAGACTATTTATATTGCTTGGATTTCTAGTAAAGAAATGAAACCGTTATTATTATTATTATTATTATTATTATTATTATTATTATTATTATTTATTTTAAATATTTTTTAACTTCTTATAATAGAAAAACAGAAGAGTACTAAACATGTACATTAAAAAGGGAGAGTTTGATCAATATTTATAAGAGAAGTAAAAATGAAAATATAGACATAGCAAATTTGATGTGACAATTAGTGTTATTTATGGACGATTTTTTCCTTAACACTTTATCTTACAACAATTAGTTGTATGGAAATGCTGATACGTGACCAATAGAAAATAATATACTATAATATATATGATATAGTATAGGTATTAGAAAGTGAGAAACACCAAAAGCCTAGGTGTATTAAGAGCTTTAAAGTAGATTCCAATACATGTTGAACATTATACAAGTTTAGCAACATAAAAAGCTTAAAATGTTGAACGATACTATATAGAGGACATATATAAGGTAAGACAACATAAAAAACTTCATAATGTTGGATTGTACTATAAAAGATATATATATATATATATATATATATATATATATATGCTAAGCAGAAGGTACTATACTATATGTGATATAGTTTAGTTCACCTAGGTCGGTAAAGGAAAAAAATTCCTCGCAAAACGCATAACAAGCGGTCTCAAAGTATGCACATATGGAAGATGACAAAAATGATGTATGTATGAAGAAATATGCATCCAGTTTGGTGGTACATATTCACACTGACGTAACATGCATTAGAAAACCATACATACTATACCAATGTATACAAATAGGAAAAAAATAACAACACAGCTCACATAAATAGTCTTTTATGTAACATATGATTACTAAATTGGACTGTACTATATAGAAAACATAAATGAGACTATAACATATACGAGCAGGAGACGGTAAAATTTATTATATTATATTTGATGTATAATAGTTCAACCAGCTCGGTAGGGAAAAAAGATTTCGTTCAGAACACATCCCATGAGATTCCAAAGTTTATATACATAGAAGAGAAAAAAATGATAATATGAAGAAATATGAACCCAAATCGGTAGTATGTATGCGCCATAACTTAACATGTATTCAAATGACATAAATACTATACTATTGTATAAAAGCGCTAGTATAAAAAATATAAAATTCCACCTCACAAATCACTTACAAAATTACATTCTGGTTACAAAAAAAAAATGAATTAGGCATGGAGATCTATCGGGTATGAAAATGTGTTGGCTGTTGATATGTGGACAACATAAAGAACTGCGAAGTGGTGGAATGGACTATAACTAACGATAGTATACAAACAAAAATGTGATGTATGCCACTGTTGGAACTATACTATATGTAAAATTACATAGTATAGTAAGCAAATCACAAAAAAGTTTAAGTAACTCTGATGTTAACTGATGTTAAAGCTCTCTGCTAAATCTAAAGCCTAAATCTAGACCGTAAACCTAAATCTACACCCTAAACTTAACGTCAAATTATAAATCCAAACCATAAACTCTAAACCTTAACCCAAAAAGGACGATGTTGGTATTAACATCGTCAGGCAAACTTTAAACCTAAACTCTTAAGAAATGAACCTAAACTCTTAAGAAATGACATGAACATAGCTAAACCCAAACCATAGACCATAAACCCAAAAAGAACGATGTCGGTGTCGGTATTAACACCGTCAAGTAAACTTTAAACCCTAAATCTCCCTTGACGCTTGTAGGCAATTGCTTTCCTTTCACGTTCAGAAGTACTCTTTGAATTCATCCTTTGCTTTTGGCTGATGCTATCTGTGGACCTGTAGAGTGCATTGAGCTAAAGGCAGTTCATTGTTATCAACTTTCGTTTTACAATAGTTTTGAACCTACCACTCATAAAAAATGGTTAAACAAAAGTTGAGAGTCAAAACCGGACCATGCCCATTATCGGACCTGATCCAACTTGTATATGCTAAACTGAGAGTTGGTTCCTTGTACCATACAACTATACCATCTCGTCTTGTAACTAGTTTGTTAGTTCAGATATCTTAATAACATTAAAGTAATAATGGTAACAAAAGTGTTTCTCGAACTTGAGTTCTCATGTGTATCCCTCCTTGCATGGTAAGTGATAAGTGGACCTATCTTCTGCGCTTTGATTCTTTACGCATTTCTGCATAGTAGTTCTCACGGTTCTGCTTCTCCCATAGCCTTCTCTGTACCAGATCTTCCTTCTTATATTCATCTGATAAATCAACATATTATATTTGAATCAATCTTCTTCTCATGTGTTGGTTCGAGTGTGGCAAAATAGAACAGAAGAATACCGAGATTAGTCCATGCGTCGAGAGGCACTCCAAGTGATCTCCGGGTTAGGTAAGATGCGTCTTCCCATGAATAAGGAGCTTTCTTAACCTTATATCTCCATACCCAACTGCTGTACCATACTAGAAGCTGCAAGGAGAGAAAGTTGAATCAGTGATCTTGAGAAATGAAACGGGAGTCTGAAAATGTGGACATTCTTCAAAACATGAAACCTTGATGACAGTGTAAGGTAGGAGAACGAATCGAACACCGAGAAGATCCCATACTGACGGTTTTTCAGCTCCTTTGATTTGTAGATCGAGTTCATTGCTTAGCTCTTCCTGTAGTTTCCTGCCAAAAGAAGAAACGGATATGATACAGTCCCCAATGAGATGAGACTCACTCTCAGCTAACAAAAGGGCGATAGAATAAACATAAGAGCATACGGGTCGATCTGCTTTGGACCCTTCTTCTTGCTAGATACTCCACCAGTGCGTTCGAGTTCTAAGGCCTTGAGCCTGTTTTTGTAAGCAGGAGTTCGCTTAACTGTTGCCATAGCCTGCATCAAACAAAAGGCGCAGGATGTGCTCAAAGTCCGTAAAGGATTTTATTTTCTTAGGCAACATAAAGTTCTCATACTTGCCAGCACAATAATAGATATTTTTTTTTTTGTAGTTCTGATGCTTAAGTGAGGCTTAAAATATAACAAGACAGGCTACGCATACGGAACAGAGACTCAAGACACGACTATGAGAACAAGGTGAGAGGAACCCCGTGTCTTTGATGCGTACCTCATTATACCTTGCTACGTTGTTGAGATATTGAAACGCAGACAAAACTACCAGTAGACCAACAAGAACAGCACGAGGATCCTAGAAACATCATTACGGCAGGTTTATCAGTTAAAAAAAAGA